TGTATTCTCTCAAGTGTAAATGTGCACCTACTTGCTATAGCTATCAGTAAAACAAAAATGAATAAAATGAGATAATCATCTAGGTCTGAATAAACTAGACAAGGAAATGGATGCATATAGGCAGTGGAAGTAATACAGTGTCTACTTTAAGATGCTGCAAGCCAGGAGACCAGGAAGAAGAAAGGATATCGCAGTAAACTGCCCCCTGCAATTATAAATAAAAACATTAATATTTTAATAATTATTAAAAAGGGCAGATGGCCAGAAGGGCTCCATGTGCACTGCAAAGTGGGAGGACTCAGGGGTGCAGCTGGCATCCAAAGAAACCCAGTTTGAAATATAAAGGGTTTAAACTCAGATCCGGACTTTTCATTACATTTAATCTTATTCCATGACTTGACATATTTACATTGCCAAACCCATTATTTTCCAAAGCAATGTACTATGAGAAAACCAGCTTTAGTTATTAACCACTGATTAGGGGAATTTATTTTTTGGAAAGAGTTATGGGGTCCCTAGTGTATGATAGGGCTCCTAAGCACGATGGTAATTCAACAACAACAAGGCAAGTTATCCACTTCCAGAGCTTTATGTGCTGATGCCAAACAAGTCAGCATTTTTATTTATTATTATTATTATTAACAGGCACCTGGTTACTCCCGAGTCAGTGCTAATTATAGATAAGGCAATGCTCCCCTTTTCTGTCTCTGGTGAACGGTGCGAAGGTGGAGCAGGGTCTCCATGATCCCTCGCCCAATGTTGTCAGACACTCATCAATGAACAATATTTAGGATTAGCAGCAGGCAGCTAAATTTGGCTCTCAATGGGGGAAACACTGTTTCGTATTTACTTGGCAACAGTGGGGAACAAAGCTGCATGTAACACACACACAGTAAAGCTGTGTCCAGAGTTGTTCTGTCACTTCATAGCTTTTATTTTATTTTTTAAAGCAGGATCGTGGGTTTCTATAATTGTACATCTTCTGGCAGCCTGCCAGAAATGAATCAGCAAGTTAGGGCTGCTCATTGTTTTTTGGTGCTGTGGCTTCAAATGTCAGCTCCCAACAGAAGCGCTGGGTAGAAGGTCAGGGGTCTGATTAAAGAGTCATTGAGCCACCGATAAGAATGGGAATGAGGGTTTACTTGAAGTACACCCAGTTTTCCAGATAAGTTGATTACACTGAGCATCCAAACAATGCCTTCTATTTCTGGCTTTTTAAGCAATGGGTAAGAGGCTCTTAGTGTATCTGGCAACACTTCAAACATCTACAGAAGCAATCTGAACAACAGTAATTTACCACCATCAGCTCCACTGCACGTAGACTGGCTGATGTAATATAAGCATGGAACTGTCCTAAAAAAATCTAAATGGTTGGCCAGTCCAAAAGGTGACTATATGCAAAGGATATCTTGCTCTGTCCTCTTAACTCTGGCTTTTTGATTCCCCATAACCACCTCCATCAGTGTGTAATTTGTTTCTCTTGCACATTTTAATAGCCTTTAATAAACTGAAGACAATCATATATCATAAAAGATTCTTCTCTTTAGGTGGATGAAAAATGCTATTCCAATGTCATTTGGATCAGATGCCTGGAAGACACTTCCTACCCATTTAGGCTATTCTTTTTCATTTCAAGGATGATCCTTGTGAGATTCCACATGCTGAAAAAGATCCCTACCTACCACATATAGCAAATACATTGAAACGTATTTCTGGCCTTTAGTATGTGGCAGGAGGAGATTCTAGTTCAGGACTCTCAGGCATTTAGCAAGGCAAACTTCCTGAATTTCTTGGCAATACTTAATTTTAAACAAGGGGAGCTAACTTAAAAAATCTGATATCTGCTTTATCAATATTTAATTTGTTACATGATATTGTGGGTGGCATATGGAATGAAAAGTTTTGACTCCAATCTATCATTGTTATTGCATTCACACTGGATTTAACATTCCAGATGATTAAGCTACTGTTAAACTGTGAAACTGAGAAAGAGAAAGCAATTGCTCCAAGTCTCAGATGGACTGTGAATTGCAGCTGGCATTAAAACTTAAGGTCCTGTTAAAGAAAAGCTGTCATGTAGTTTGTCAATTAAAATCTAGTAAATCATATTCTAGAGATTCTACATAATATTTTTAACTCTCTACCCCACTGTCAAACAATACCTCTATTGGTTTAGGGCTTGAGAGAACAAACATACAGCGGTGTCTATGCTTTCTCTCTCTCAGTTTCTCTATCTGTAACCTGGGGGATAATACACAATTGTCTTCCTCAGAGAGGTATTTATAAGGATTCAATGATTGTGAAGTGCTCTGAACATATAAAGTGCTTAGCAATATTGCTATCAGATCTACTCTAAGATGGAAAAACCAAAAAATTGACTGGATATTGTGTTTATATATGAATTCATTATTTCTTCTCAACTATGTGAACCACATTTTAATTCTTTGGACTAATTTAACATGCTCTAATTTTGTCTCATCATATAGGATTTACAGACATTCCCACGAATCTGAGATTGTCTATTCCCAGGTTTCCACAAGTGCACTGACAAGAACCCACCTAACACTGAAACAGTTTGAAAGTAGACATTGACTAGATACTCCAAACATCTAATTAACAGAACACAGTTAATGACAGCAACTAAGAGTGCTCATAGGAAACAATCCTTTCCAACAGGTTGCTGGAACTGAACACACCCTTGGTGCATAAAAATATCATTGGAATTTATTCCAATTTAAATCTTTACAGGCTCCTGGCATGCCCAGTAGCCACATGTAGCTATAAAACCCATTACATTAAATTACCAGAAGCTTCTTTAAAAAGAACCTGCATATGGAAGCCGCCGAAGATCATCCAAAAATCGATGAATCTGCAACTGCAGTCATTGCTACAATTCTATTAATTTGTCCAAAAATTGATTTCATATTGCAAAATATTAAAGCCACAATCCCTAGGTTCTCAATTGCTTTTCTTGGTGGTGGTATTATTGCTCCCTGGTGAGTCGGGTCAGTACATTTCATTTGTTTCTCTGAATCGAGTCAAAAAATGTATTCTTATGGGACAGACTCTTGGCTCCTAAAATAGCATAATTTCTTCAAAAAATATAGTTATACATTTTTTCTATTTTATTTAGTAATGAAGATTTTTGAGCAGGGACGTAGTTGTCAACAGTCTAAATGCAAAATTCTTAATTTTGTTGTGAAATTTGTATAGGTTCGTTTCCAGCACTTTAAGAAATTAAAAAGTAGTTAATAGGCTAGAAAAGATTGAATGTAATAATATTTCCTAAAGCCAGCATAAGGAACTGCAGTGTTCTTGGACTCAAACACATTAAGACTAACACACTCTGGGCTCTCTAGCATATTATTCGACATGTTGACGTGAACAGTAAGGAGCACTTGGCAACATTTTTCTGCACAGATGGATCTTCCTTTAAAAATTGTGAAACACATCAGCCCAGTGTTCTTATATGCCATTTCACATACTGTGTGACTAAACAACTACAGGACTATTGCTTCCTTGCCCTCTGGAGACCCTGGAAACCCAGGAGGCAACAGTCACACTCCCATGGAGTGAGTTGCACATGTTGGTTATGAACAAACCTTTGGGAATGTCTGCACTACAATTAATCACTCATGGCTGGCCCACACTTACAAGGCTTGAGCTGCAGGACTGTTTAATTACAGTGGACTTCCGGGCATGGGCTGGAGCCTGGGCTCTAAGACCCTCCCGCCTCACAGGTTCCTAGAGTCCACGCTGCAGCCCAAGCCCAGAAGTCTACGCTGCAATTAAACAGCCCTGCCACCACAGCCCTGTGAGCCTGAGTCAGCCAGCACAGGCCAGTCATGGGTGTCTCGACCAACCCTTCGTATTTTGTTTCAGCGGTTTAATTCCATTTGACAGCTCCTTATAGTGGAAAGGGAAAAACAAACAGACTTTTCCTAGAGAAAAACGGTATAGGAAATTCCTGCTAATTTACAAATAAATAAAAGTTAAAAACCCAAACTCAGAACAGAGAAAAACTGTTCTATTTGGTGGGGAAAGGAATGAACTGGATTCTTCAAGCTGCAACTGACCCTCTCCCAAAAGATAGGCACAATATTTCTTGAATTCCCCATCTTGCTCTGCTGGTAGAAGGTCATTACTATGGGTCCAGCCCGACCTAATGGATAAATTTGGTCTGTTAGAGGGTGGAGGAAAGAGAATCCTCCCCTCAGGCACCTGAGGATCAGCAGTCGGAGATTTCTGAGGTTCACAAGAGCTGCATAAACTACACACACTCAGCACAAGGTAGAGCAGCAGCAGCCATACCAGTGTGGATTGCATCAGACCTGCAATGTTACTCCAGCGCTGTATGTTTATATTTAAAATACACTACGCCGCAAGACTAAACTGGGTTTGTTGCTTGGGCGCATGTTTTATCCACAACCGTGCCTCCTTCCTATGCCTATTACTGTCACAGCACTTATCCTCTACCTAAGGCAAAACAAACCTCCCGAGACTAGATTTAATACCACTAGTGTGACACCCAAAGATCAGTAACCGCTTACTGTGAAATAAGTCTCTCCACATCCGACCAAATATGTTATCCTGACACCAATTCTGATTTCGCTGCAGAAAGCCTGATGTTAAACCTCTATCAGACACTGGGGGGGTTTGGGAGAAGAATGAAGGGGACATATTCTAACCCCATCTTTTTTAATATACTGTTGATGTCCCAACGATGCAGTTACTGGTCTCAAGCATCCTTGTACCTGGTCCCCACAACTTTTGCATATGGCTGCACTTGTGTTCTGAATAACTGAAAATATCTGCTATAACTTTCTACATTTAATTCTACTGCCAATAATAGTGCCTATGCAACGAAACAAATTAATTTACATAATGCAAAAAAGGTATTTTTCTTTTCTAGTTGTTGAAATACAGCTATAAAGAAAAATACATTTTTTTTTAAAAGACAGAAGTAAGTCATTTTGAGAGGAATGAAAAAAGCTACTCACTTTACAGGAGCCCTGGCATAGACCTGTAGCCAGTCAGGAATCTCTGCAGTGTGGTATGGATTTGCAGGCACTAGAAGGGGCTGGCTTCTCTCAGCTTGCTGTGGTTGATAAGTCACTGGTGGAGGTTGATCATAACGAGGAACGCTGTACAAAGAACAGAGATATAAATCTAAAATGTATCAATTCATTAACCTCCAAAAGCAGCAAATTAAATATACTAGCATAATTGAAACGTTAATTTTGACCAAAATGTTAAAATCTTAATAAAAACTACTGATCAATCCAGCCACTTACAACAACAGGAGTCATGTATGCAGACTGATGGCATCACAGCATACAGGTAGGTTGCATTTAATTTTAAATGCTCCAGTATTTAATTTTAAATACTCTTTACTGGGAGTAAGGAGACTTTCTGCAGTCATTTTTAATAATTGTGCCATGGTCTTTATTTTATTCTAAACACAAATGTAAACACTGCTGCATTTATCACATTGTACAAACTCATATCGGACCATTTCACCTGTTACCCCACTGCCTTTTTACTAACATGGTCTGACCAAAAATTAAAAACCAATTTTAACAGATAAAATAGGCAAGTATCATTTAGCTGATCAACCCAAAATTCACTGGATTTAGAACAAATGTGTTCTAGTTACATTTGGTACAAGCTATTCCACCATGTTATCTATTGTTCCATATTGAGAAATAAGAAAAATAGTACAGCAGGGACAAGCGTGTTGAGTATACTAACAAAAAGTTATCAACATTTATATTGTGTGTAGATGAAACAGGGACTTTCATTTTAGAGCAGAACTAGCCCATGTTTAAAATGGCAAAGTGCCTCTTCATCAGGATTACTATTACAGGTTATTTGTGAGGACAGCTTGCTGGAAGGTAAGATTTAACAGCTTCCTCTCGACCTGTAACATTTTTCTCCTCCTGAAGTATTCTGTCAATCTTAATGAATATTAATAGTAAAGTACAATGATGCATTGTTCTTGATTAGTTGGTAGCAATATTCTGTGCTCTGAACTTACATGAAAATTAACACAGCTCAGGAAACAGAAGCCTTAAGGTTATCTCCCTTTACAATTAAAGCAACTTGGACAGAAACCAGTAAAGTTTCATGTATAAAAATAATATATAACAGATCAGTGATGTGCTAAAACAGAAAAGCTCGATTTTCCTACGCTAAATTGGATCAGAATATAGTCTGCAACAAAACTAACATTGATCGCCTACCTGGGAGCACAGGGATGCTTGTACTGAGCTCTTTTATTGATGTGATCTACATAATACACTCCAAATTCTGCTGACTCAACTCTTTCCCATCCAGGAGGCAGCCCCTCACGCTCCAGTGGATGGCTCCAATGAGTCGTATTAGTGTTATGATCAATGTAGTATTTCCTTCCTCTAATAGTCCAGTCCACTGACCAGCCAGGAAGAAGAGGTAAATCTTCAGAACTGTGATTTGTTAAATTTCCTAGTGACGTAGCAGGAATCCTGCCAATGCCTGAAAAAAACATAAGAGAATTCAGCCAAGCTGACAACAATGCTTGAAATTGGTTGACTGACTTACCAAAAAAAAAAAAAAAAGTTGTAATTACTTTCCTCAGGAAAGCAGTAAAAGATGGTCATGTTCTGAATGAATTATAACTCAAGAATAAGGCTGCAGCAGATTTACAACGTCTGTATTCACACATTGTTTTTCTCTACATATTTCAAATTAGAACTGGTCAAATAAATCACTAATTATTGGTTAATTAGAACATTATATGTATGGATTGACCAACAACAAGAAGAAGAGCAATAATCCTTTTGTAAGTCAGGTCTCACTTCCTGAAAAAAGAAAAAGCGAAGCAGTGTTTGGTTTCCATAACATAACCTGAACTTTTGCTATCAGGTACTCTTGATTTTACCCACAATGCACTGGACGAATGTCACAGCAGTTTTATCTATATTTACTAAAAGTATGTTTGGAGCTCAATGTCCAGCTGACTTGCCTCCACGAAACTCAGTTAAGACTTACTGGCTCCGTTTACCTTAGAAAAGTATGTCATGTATTTAATAGGGATGACACTGCAATCGTATTACTAACATGTTGAATTCCTGAGCAGGGCTGGCAGACATGGGATTTTAAATGCCTGAGCATATTTAAACTACAATTTATGTTAGTAATACATTACAGTTACATCTACCCTATATACCTACTAAATACAGGTACAGTATTTTTCTAGTGTAAATGGGACCTTCAAAACCTATTCAGCAGCACACAAGCCTTCCTAATTTACCTACACAGGCAGTCACAGAAACAGAAGGAAGGGAAGAGATGTAGAAGTTAAAATAAGACAATGGAACAACGATCATTATACCATATGCTTACATAACCACAAAAGATAATTCAATAACATTTTAAAATCATTACTTTTTAAATATACAAATATAACACTTACATGCATTATAGAAATTAGTGCACCAAGTACTAATAAACACAATAAAAATGTCATTTCAATTTTTATATCTTTTCCTTCTCATTATGTATTGTGGAACTTTAGGGAGGACTCCATGTCAGTCAAAGTACAGTTGAAATGAGAAAACCTCCAGCAGAGATAAAAACATGGCTGAAAATGTAAAACACATGGTGACCTAACCAAAATGTTCACAGATCATTAAGTTTCATTCCTTAGACGCTTGATACCCAGTATAATGTTGGCACAATTTAAACTCTTCTTCATATATCCTTGAAATATAAAAACAACAAGGAGTCTGGTGGCACCTTAAAGACTAACAGATTTATTTGGGCATTAGCTTTGGTGGGTAAAAACCTCACTTCTTCGGATGCATAGAACCTCCGAAGAAGTGAGGTTTTTACCCATGAAAGCTTGTGTCCAAATAAATCTGTTAGTCTTTAAGGTGCCACCAGACTCCTTGTTGTTTTTGTAGATACGATACAGACTAACACGGCTACCCCCTGATACTTGAAATATAAATTTATTTTCCTGAACTGCAGTTACATTTACATTCCCAGTTAGATACTCCTCTAGCTGTAGAGAAATCCCTAATTCAATACAGTAAAAGCTGTTTTATCTGGCACTTCATCAACTGGAAAGCTCTATAAACCGGCATTTCTGATCTTCGTTGAAATGCTGGTTTATAGACGGGTTGGTGCGGGGACAGCAGGGGGTTGGGGTGTGGGCTCTGGGTGGGCGTTTAGGTGCGGGAGGGGGTGAGGAGTGCCGGATCTGGGGGCCAATCACCTCGGCCGGCTCCCTGCAAGCGGCGACCTGTCCCAGGCTCCGGCTGTTCCTAGGTGGAGGCATGGCAGGCAGCTCTGTGTGCTGCTTCCCCACCTCCGCCCCCAGTGCCTGGGAACCGCGGCCAATGGGAGCTGCGGGGGCGGCACCTGTGGGCACAGGCAGCGTGCAGAGCTGCCTGCTGCGCCTCCACCTAGGAGCAGCTGGAGCCCAGAACGTGTCGCCACTTGCGGGGAGCTGCCAGAGGTGAGCGCCCGCCTAGATCCAGCACGCCATACCCCCTTCCGGGCGCCCTAGCCTGCTGCCCTGAACCCCCTCCCGCACACAAACTCTCTCCCAGAGCCCACGCTCCACACCCTCTCCTGCACCCCAACCCCCAGCTCCACACCCACTCCCTCTTACTTAACCGGCATTCTTTTACTTACTGGCACCCCCCTTCCTCCAACATGCCTGATCAAACAACTTTTACTGTACTTTCAAATGCCATAATAAAATACATTTTACTTGATTCCAGCATTCCCAACTAGCTGATAAATGTCCTATTAATGCTATATTTTCTCACTGAACCATATAGAGGAGTTTAGATTTTTTCCTCTCTCAGAAGTTAAACAATTGATTCTACCACAGTACTAATGTCTCCACAGATGTTGGAATAGATACTTCCTCAGCTCTGGCTCTTCTGAAATAAAAACGTGTGCGAGTGTATGAGAGAGAGAGAGCTGGAACTACCGGTATCATCCAAAGAATACCACTAAAAGAAAACGATCTATGCTAGCTCATCCAAAAAGCAGTATTGAAGCCAGACGAAACTTCACCATTACTCTTTCTCTGCCTAACCATCTGTTATAAACAGATATCACACATGCAGCTTCTCCTTTGTACTCATCCTTCCACTTCTGCTATCAGGGGAAATTATGAACATGCTTTCCTTCTGACAGTTCACCCACAGATCAACACTGGCACACAAAGGACATTCTTTTCGATCTTTTGCTGACCAGTTTAGATCTAGTACAGCACAAGTACTGGAGTAACACCTCGCCTGCACTTTCAGTCTGTGATATTAGCCATCAGCAATACGGTAACTGGAAATTATTCAAAGTGAAGAAACACAGGAAACGAGGGACTGAAGTCCTCTCTTCCCTGTCAGCCCCACTGAGCACTGGACCTGAAAACATTGCTATTTGTCAACAAAAATATTTCTAACCCTGGCAGGTTATGAAATATTTGACCTTAGAGTACCTCCCTGTATTAAAATATTTTTGCTATTTCCGTAAGTTAGCATGTGTACCAATGCTGTGGTTCCCTCTCGCAGGTACTGATCCTGAGAAGGAATCTGCAACCTGGACCTTATTTCCCTGTGGAGTCCCATTGAAGGCAGGGAAGAGAAAGGCGTTCCAGTTTCTATTTCCAAGAGGAAATACAATTTTCCAGTTAAGCTACTTGAAAAGATACTGGACTTCAGATAAACAAGTCAAATATTTTCTCCAGTTAACTGGACTGTTATGATTGGGACTCTTCTTGGATGTGTAAACAAGAACTACTTATGGTGTCAGCACTAGCATGGGATTCAAATACTCTCAGACATCACTAGAAGAAAGAACCTCAACATAGGAATAAACGTTAACTTTCCTTTCAGTTTACATTTAAAACGAGCACATGCTCAAGTGTTGTGTTTTTTACTCCCACTTCAATTACAGCATAATTTAGCAGCCAATATATACTCCTGTGGACAGAGGTTAATGCTTAATAAAGTTTCAAAGCTGGGATTACAAGGTTTCAGATGGAGCTAAAACCCATTCTATGTACTAACAGTTAAGGACTTGTTTATGTGGGAAGTTATTTAAACCACTATATTTATCCCAATATAACAGCCCACGTGGACACGCAAAGGTCTAGTCTATACTTAAAAATTAGATCAACCAAGTTATGTTGCTAGGTCTCTGTGCACCATAGTTAGGCTGACTTAACCCCCGCAGTGTAGATGCCGCCTCTTGAGAGATGGATTAACCCCTTCAGCTGATGTAGGAAGGGTCTACACTGCAGCGCTATAGCTGTGTCACTGTAGCGGCTGATGTATAGACAAGGCCTTATATTTAAGTATATTTGGTGCCACAAAAAAACAGACAAGAGCTAAGAGGGGAAAGGGAACATTGTAATCAGGATGATTTTCAAGTCTGTTACCTTGTGAATCACCAAGACGAGAAAGTAATTGCTATACTTCATTGGAAAGGCAAGAGTTCTCGTTTTCCTAGTTTCTATACGTTAAGTTATAGCCACAGACCTTAAAACAGTCACTAGTCCCTCAGACAACGCAATACTATTTTGGCACTGTTTCTGGACTTAACATAGCAAGAACCAAACCAATGTAATTTTTTGATCCCTGGATAAATTTTTTTTTTTTTATAAATCTATAACTGAAGCAATCAATAGTTATGAAACGAAAGGCTAGATTTACAGGTAACAAAGGGGCTAGAAGTACATAGAAAGCTGTAAAAGGTCACTTATAGTTTCATGTATACCTTTTCCTTAAGTCATAAAAACACCATCAGTATTTTCTTGAGGTTGTTGAAAGTTAGAAGAATTCAGATTCTATTTGTGAAGTACAGCGTCTCATGCCCTTTGAATCGTTGTGGCATTCAACTATAATTAGTTTAATTTAGACATCTGTTTGTATAATTGGAGTTACTGAATATCAAAATAAACCATACACACTGCTTTTGCTTATAACATTCTATGAAGGAAGTACTCAGCAGATGCATCCTTGAAATGAGAATATACAACAGGAATATTTCCTACTGTAGCTTAGAACAACAACAGGAGAGGAAAAAACTACTTTGTTTTTTTAGACTCCTGTAAGTATCAATAGTAAGAGTGGGCACCACTTCAAAGGCTAGATTACTATTTAATCTTTTTCACAATTGCTGGTCAAAGACGGGAGGGGCATTTAAAGTATTAACAAGGAAAATATTGTGTTATAACAGGATATTTTACTAGACTGCAAGACAACCTGAAAGTTACACCTGACAGAAATATGCCTGGTACTTTACAGTCATGTAAGGTTACAAGAACCCTGCCTTGAGGAGCTTTGTAAGAATACTTATTAATTCTACTTCTACAACAGCTGAGGACCCGAAATGTGTATTAGTGCCCATTTTAAGGCACTATACAAACACACCACAAAGTCCATGGCTCAGAGCATTCAGAACTAGATTCAGATAATATAAAGTATGTATTCTGACAATGACTGGTTGAGGAACAA